AAAACCAACTTCATGTACACCAAAATAATATCTAGTTATTGAAAGTGACTTTTAATTACGTGTAAATACTCTTTGTTTACTATAAAAAAAGAATATAAGCTGTAATCCATATCCTTTTTGGTATGTTTGACACAACCAACTCCATGTACATTAAGATAATATCCACTTTTTAAAATGACGCATAGTTACATGTATATACTTTTTCTTTACTCTGAAATAAAAAATATAAGCTGTAATCTTTTTCCTTCTTCATAAGTTTAACCCAACCATGTTCATGCACACTAAGATAATATCTAGTTATTTAAAGTAACTCCTAATTACGTGTAAATACTATTTGTTTACTATAAAATAAAGAATACAAGCTGTAATATTGTTCCTTTTTTATATCTTTAACAAAACCAACTTCATGTACACCAAAATAATATCTAGTTATTGAAAGTGACTTTTAATTACGTGTAAATACTCTTTGTTTACTATAAAAAAAGAATATAAGCTGTAATCCATATCCTTTTTCGTATGTTTGACACAACCAACTCCATGTACACTAAGATAATATCCACTTTTTAAATTGACTCATAATTACGTGTCAATACTCTTTCTTTACTCTGAAATAAAAAATATAAGCTGTAATCTTTTTCCTTCTTCATAAGTTTAACCCAACCATGTTCATGTATACTAAGATAATATCTAGTTATTTAAAGTAACTCCTAATTACGTGTAAATTCTCGTCGCTTTAAAAAAACCAGATATGATCTTAGTGTACAAGATCTTGGTTATGTTAAACTTATGAAGAGGAACAAGATTATAGCTTACATTCTTTATTTTATAGTAAAAAAAGTATTCACTCGTAATTGGGATACACTTTAAAAAACTAGATATTAACTTATGGTTTATGAACATGGTTGGGTTAAACTTATGAAGTGGAACAAGATTATAGCTTACATTCTTTATTTTATAGTAAACAAAGAGTATTTACACTTAATTAGGAGTCACTTTAAAAACTATATATTATCTTAGTTTACATGGAGTTGGTTGTGTTAAAGATATGAAAAAGGAGGAACATTAAAGCTCTTCTTCTTTATCTATAGTAAACAAAGAGTATTTACACGTAATTAGGAATCACATTAAATATCTAGATATTATAATAGTGTACATGAACTTCGTTGTGTTAATCTTATGAAAAAGGAACAAGATTACAGCTTACATTTTATTATTTTATAGTAAACAAAACCTAATTACGTGTAATACTCTTTGTTTATTACAAAATAAAGAATGTAAGCTGTAATCTTGTTTTTTTATATGTTTAACAAATCAAACTCCATGTCCCCTAAGATAACATCTAGTTTTGTAAAGTGACTCCTAATTACGTTTAAATACTCTTTGTTTACTATAAAATAAAGCATACAAGCTGTAATCTTGTTCCTTTTTTATATCTTTAACAAAACCAACTTCATGTGCACCAAGATAATAGCTAGTTTATAAAGTGACTCCTAATTACGTGTAAATACTCTTTGTTTACTATAAAATAAAGAATGTAAGCTGCAGTCTTTTTCCTTGTTCATAAGTTTAACCAAACCATGTTCATGTATAATAAGGTAATATTTAGTTATTTAAAGTGACTCCTAATTACGTGTAAATATTCTTAGTTTACAATAAATAAAGAATATAAGATGTAATCTTGTTCCTTTTTTATATGTTTAAGACAACCAACTCAATGTTCAGGCCCGGCATGGCAAGGTGGTTAAGGCACTCGACTCGCAATCTGAGGGTAGCGGGTTCGAATGCCTGTCACACCAAACATGCTCGCCCTTTCAGCCGTCGGGGCGTTATAATGTGACAGTCAATCCCACTATTCGTTGGTAAAAGAGTAGCCCAAGAGTTGGCGGTGGGTGGTGATGACTAGTTGCCTTCCCTCTAGTCTTATACTGTTAAATTAGGGACGGCTAGCGCAGATAGCCCTCGTGTAGCTTTGCGCGAAATTCAAAAACAAACTATAAAAGTAGAAATCCTAACCATACATAAGCAATTTAAAACACAGATAAAACGTTTAGGTAAAGTGAATATTCTTATATTTATCTTGTGATTCTTCACATATAAACAATAAACGCTGCTTACTTCACAATATGTAATCTTCTTAAAGTAAACTTAAATTAGACCTTCTTAACTATTTCATGTCTCGAAAATAACCATAAATTCAACGAGATAAATTGGTTAGAATTTTAAAACTATTCTGAGAGGCAGCGAGTGGGATGAGGCAGCTTATGAGTTAGCTATAATATAAACCAAAATAAGATGTTTCCTTTATTTGCAACCTCAACTAGATATATTACTTTGCTGGGCGCGCCGGATGTATGACGCAGTAACGCTAATGTTAAAATGAAAATAAAAAAACAAGCAGAAAAGTAACACCCGTGAATGAAACAGGCCAGACGCCAAAGGAATGTTTTATAGACTACAAAATATTTGTGACGTCAGTAAAACACTGCTAAAACACTGTTAGTCCATTCATTAGCAATATATCAAAACGTTAATGCCAAGTTTTGTTTCTATGAGATCATCATGCATCTGTAAGATGTTGTGCCGAACATCACGTTTTATCTTACTCTTGTTTTGCTCTATGGACAAACATTTCCTCGAAACTTGCGTAAAAAACTAAAAAACGTGCGATCAACATTAGTATTGTTTTCTTTAAAATATTTTAACAGATACTTATCTGACCACATGTCAAAAGTATTACAATTACGTTTTCAGTTGGGTAAAAAACTACTTGCTGAGCGTGGGTATTTGAATGAGACCTCTAATGAGAAACAATATAGTGATAACTTACTCACCCCATTAGCGTTGTAGCTCTTAAAACCAATTAAAACAAAACCTAAGTATTACAGAAAAGTTAAAATAAGAGGGTTTAAGCTAATTTAGTTCCCAGGTGCGTCAGTGCTAAAATTTGGGGCTCGGTTCCTCACAGTGGACAAAGTGCATATAGTCTATTGTGTAGCTGTTGGACAAAAACAAACAAAAAAGACAAAATGAAGCTAACGTTTTGATACCCAGTAAAATAGACGGTTTCAAATCAAACAAAGTCCCGATACTGCAACAGCTGTCCTGTTAAAAGTAACATGATTTCAAATCTAACCGCTCTTCTTGTTGCCCAGTCAGCAGAAACGAATGTCAAAATTAATTGAATATTTTCATTTTGAAACATCATTCTTGCCCAGTTATAGAAACAAGATTTTAATAAATATGATATTCTGAGTTCCATGTCAGTGCACCAGAATACCCACCCTGTTAACAATGACAAGATTCTATTGACTTTAGTGTTCTTGTTGCCCAGTCATCATGAATCAAAAAATAAATGTGAAGTCGAGGCAATGTTCCTATATTGTAACAGAATATCTACTTCTTTTAACAATGACATCAGTCGATTCAACTCGATGTTTTTGTTGCTACACATATCAGAAACAAGTTTCAAGTCGAAGAGATGTTTCTATACTGTAATAGAATACCTACCCTGTTATCAATGACAAGAATAAATTTAACTAGACACTCCTGCTGCCCAGTCGACACAAAAAAGGTTGTAGCCGAGGCGCTTTCTATACTGTAACAGAATATTTACCCTGCTAACAACGACAATAACTGGAATCAATCTGGTGTTCCATCTATCCTCTAGGCAGAAAATGATGTTTAATTGAATCCTGTGATACTATTCCTGGACAGTTTTTTAGTCCGTGCGGCGGCAACGAGAGCTTAATCTGATGTCCTAGCTACCCTCTAAAGGGTAATTAATCTCCAACTTCATATACTAATACACCTTCTTGTATGCATAATTGTTTTGTATTTCAAAAAATTTTTTTCCAGTCTCTTATCCTTAAAATGTTCCACCTGTATTCAATCTTGAGGTACCTATTGTGTTCTTAGTCATTTATTTCAAAGTTACCAATGTCTCAACAAGTGAGTTGTGCCATGGGCTGGTTTCATTCCATCTTCAGTCATTCTCATTGTACACTGGATTGTCCACTTTATTTCAGATCTCACTTGTACGATGGATTTTGTTTTTTTTTCTGTTTTGTTTTTTTATCTTTAGCTGCCACCTCATAAACATAGTTATTTATTTTTTAAATAATTTCTTATTCTTGTATGATGTTTTGGTTGTGTTGCACCTTGATACAATATCTATAAGGCAGTTCAACATCTCCACTAATTCAGCGTTTCTCTTCTTTAATGAATGATATGGAACCTTGTTGATTTTACTGTCCACCAGTTCATTGTATTCTTTATTTCAGCATCTTATATTTTGGATAAGATGTTTCCTTTTCACATTTTTGAACTATCTGTTTCACAAGTTCATTTGCTGTCATCCTTACGGTTACCACCTCCTTCTGCCATGATTTTGGTATATCATTGCTCTTTATTTCATTTGTTGCTACGGATACTATTTCCTTGTCACACTTTTTCTCCCTATACATTTGCCAAAGTGTTAATCAGAATTCAGTTTTAAGCTCCAAACGGTATTATTTGTACCACACTCATGATTTTGCTGGAAAGTGTGTATTTTTACCCTTCAAGTAAATTACCAAAGAAAACAACAACTAGCACTACTAACACCTTATTTCCTTTATTTAATAAATATGTTCTAAAGCAACTAATTTTCTGAAACAGTTCTTATTGTTGATTGTGTAAGTCACCAAGAACACTGTTAAGCCTTTCCTGTAACAGTATAGTGTTCGTTTAATCCTGTTGAGGAATGGACCCAGAAGCAGTATTTTTCCATTCCACTTCATTCACCAAATAACCAACTAATTAATCTCATTTTCTCCAGGTTTGCACTAAACTTGTGCGTCCTCGGGTTCACGTGTTTTTAGGTTATATTAGGTTTTTAGGTAGTAATGATTCCAAGATATGTCTTGGTAGTAATGATTCCAAGATACGCCTTGGTAGTAATGATTCCAAGATATACCTCGGTAGTAGTGATTCCAAGATATACCTCGTTAGTAATGATTCCAAGGTATACCTCGGTAGTAATGATTCCGAGACATACCTTGATAGTAATGATTCCAAGATACGCCTTGGTAGTAATGATTCCAAGATATACCTCGGTAGTAGTGATTCCAAGACATACCTCGTTAGTAATGATTCCAAGATATACCTCGGTAGTAATGATTCCAAGATATACCTTGGTAGTAATGATTCCAAGATATACCTCAGTAGTAGTGATTCCGAAACATACCTTGATAGTAATGATTCTGAGACATACCTTGATAGTAATGATTCTGAGACATACCTTGATAGTAATGATTCCAAGATACGCCTTGGTAGTAATGATTCCAAGATATACCTCGGTAGTAGTGATTCCAAGATATACCTCGTTTTTAATGATTCCAAGATATACCTTGGTAGTAATGATTCCAAGATATACCTCGGTAGTAATGATTCCAAGATATACCTCGGTAGTAATGATTCCGAGACATACCTTGATAGTAATGATTCCGAGATATACCTCGGTAGTAGTGATTCCAAGATATACCTTGGTAGTAATTATTCCAAGATATACCCGTCACGGGTGAGAAGTCTTCCCTGCTGGTTATTTTTCTGTCTCATAGATTATTTCAGTTTCATATTATTTTGCTTATTCTCTTTTTTTCTTCACAACTGTTTATTCCTTTTTCTTACACATGATAATTTAAATACAAAAATACGATAATCTTATCTGTTTATAAATATATATATTTATATGCAATAAAGTTTACCCGTTTCTCTCTTTATCTACTCATGTTTATTGTACATCGCGTACCATCTTAATACAGATATCTGTACTAATTTTATGTCTCAACGAATCAACATCAAAGCAATATTCTGTATAAGTCTGTCATGTTGATTGATACAAAGCTTATGGATGATATTTCACGGTTGAGGATTGTCTGAGTAACTATTCAGCGAATAACACTCACTTAATGTTTAGATGTTAAACAATTGTTTATTACTATACTTTGTGCATGATCTGGAGTTTCAGTTCACCTCTTAATTCTCAATAGATCAGTGAAGCTAGAGAAGGAAAACCCCTTAAGTGGGCGATGCCATGAAGCTCCTAGTCCCCAGGAAACTTTCTCTCCTTCTTCAACTGGGCCACTCACCCCACCCGCTACTCCAAATCAAGGAGAATCTACTGTGAGAGGAAAGGGGCGATTCGGCAATCTGTCTACTAATATCAACATTACAAAACAAGGTAATGAATTCATCTATTTCACTTTATTTTCCAAAAACCCACAAAACAAACATTTTCCTGCATTTAGTCTTCCATATTTATAAACATGAATCGCGCACACACACACAAGTAGGTAACTGGAGGTCAAGAACTTTATTTTAAATCCCATTGATATTAGAATTAAAGATTTTACACGATTGTTTAGAGAACTGTAAATACAATTTCTTTATGTTTTAAATTTCTATTTCAGTTTATTCACCACTAGGTTTTTTAGTCTTACTAATCCATTGAAATAATTACTCGCTTAAAGAAACCAGTAAGAACAATATTTCACTTGAAATACATGTAATGAAATATTGTAGAAAAATGTTTTTCTTGTAATCCACGTTATAGGAAGCAACATCAAATTAGTGTTAATAAAATACATTTGTAGAAATTAAATAGTAACTGGTTGAGATTTTTCACTAATGTAGCTGTGCAATATACTACTTATGAAAGTCACAGCTTATAAAAGACGTATAAAATCACTCACATGTATAAACTAAGATAGAATATTCAAATTTAATATCTGAAATATTATGGGGATTGTCTAGGTCAGCAGGAAAGTCAGCCTATTGACTTTAGCCACGTGGACGTAGGGCAACTTTCAACAGAAGCAATCGATAATTTCGACGAATCCGAACTTGACCAGTATCTCACCGGTCAGAACTGCCCAATAGTTTCCTCCAGGATTATTCATTCTAATCAATCATCTTCGTCATCAAAGGGCGTTGGGAACACCTACAGCTCCAGTTTAGTACCCAGGTTGTTGCCAACTATGTCATCACTTCATATGATGAAAACAGAAAACTGCAGAGTTAAGCCTTACCTCTCTCGTAATACTTTCAATGACCACGCATTTAAAGGAACATCCACTCGACGATCCAGCACTGCAATTATAAAAAATGGTGTAACTCCAGTTCCAAGCTGTAACGTTATAAAAACTTACCCTAGCACCAGTTCATTAATCGGCTGCTCTTACACAAACACTGACAGTAGTTACAGTAGTGGTGCTCAAGAAGATTCTATAAAATTACAAGAACTTTCACCCATTGTAAAAACCCGTCAGCGAACCTCGATCTCAGTCGCCGTGGAAACTGCTGCTGACCTCCAAAATATGAAGACACAGTGTAACTTCTCAGAGGAAGACTCTTTGAACGTGTCTCAAAACGGCTATGACGGTCTTCCACCATTGTCTCCTACAAACACTTCTGTGTACAGTTACAGCAATAATGTGCAAACATTAATGGGACTCAATTATCAACGTGCTACTTCTTCAGGTGTCAGAGCTAAATACAGAGAAACGGAAATCTGTGGAGAACCTTGGTCAACTTATGCTTAATGAAGAAACAGTGTAAACTATTCAAAATGTCTCGCAAATTTCTATAATGTATGAAAACTTATTTTTTTTGGTCGTTGGATGGTGAAAATATCGCGTAAAATATTCTAACCATTTATCTAATATTTAAGGCACGTAATGCTTCGCTTTATAACAACTTATAGCTCTGATATGTCTACTAGAATTTTTTAATATGAATAAATAAATATGTATACTTATGAATTTTAAATATTTTTTGCTGTGGACTACGAAACATCAAATTTAGATTTCAAATGATAAAACCAATAAAAATATCATCATAATTTACGTAACTGCAAAAAAAAAAAAAGGCATAAGTTTCTTATTTTGTTATAGATAATTCAACTATGCATGATTGTCACCTAACGACTTTCAGCTATAAAAACTCGAGAGAAAATCATTAACAGCCCAATAAAACTAACTGAAGAAGCATAGAATATTATGTTCCTTTTAAAGAGTTATCTAGTTTACTATTCGAAGTAAACTGTTCATTGGTTTTGAAAGTTAATATAGTATATTAATTATATTACTTCCCACAGCGGTCTGTTAATAGGAAAAATGTAAGACATTATGAAGAATCCTGACTACGAAATTTAAAGGACATTTATTCTTAGACGTTTCTTTATAACGTTTCATTTACATTTTGAATTATTGTAGTAGTGTTTTGTGTATTAGTAATGTGTGAAGAATTATAAAAAGTGTATTTTAAACCATTCACATATATTTATTCTAATATTGCTTCGTCATAATCAAGCGTTTTATCTTGAAACACATTGTTTGTATTCCTCATTACTGTCCTGTAATACCAAGATTTGGATATAATATTAATGCCTTTTCTTGTAGCAATTCACAGGTTTATTGCTGTTATTCAGATTGGATCATATACCCAAGTTCCTGGTTGGTATAAGATCCAAAATCTGTTTACGTGAACATTAAAGATTACTGTTGCTATCCAAACTATCATATATCTAAATTTCTGGTTGTTATTAGATATAACATATGTTTACGTGAACATTAAAGAAAATTGTTACTATCCAAACTATCGATAAGTGAAGCTTTATTTTATTTTCATACTTCCATTAAATTTAATTCAGCCTAGATTCCTAAAAGAGAAAGAATGTGGTTTGTATATTTTATCTGAAGGTCTTGTCTAATGGCTTGTTTGGTTTGCTTTCTTATCTCGTACCGCAGATGTAGATTTATGCTTAAAATTTCTAACTCATATCATCATTTCACGTCGAAATGTGTTGCTATTTTCGTGACAGAGAAAATTCAAGTAAACGATTTTTTTTCCAAAATGTTTATCTGAAATTAATTCAGCTGCACTTAACTTTCTTGTTTTTAATTCCAGCTAAGTCATAAATGTTTTAAACATTCACTCCCCTGACTTTAAATAGATGTATTCAAAATAATATTTATTATTTCATGGTTATCTGTGGTCGAGAGTAATGCTGACTAATAATAAATGGTTATTCTGCAAATGCTCTTTTTTAGGGATGTATTTTGTTTATCTTATGAATATTTCGCAGTAATATCAGTTGATAGCTCATCAGGAAACATGTTATCTGCTGTTACAACTAGACGTTTAAAGATTGAAATAACTTTTGAAAAATGATATATAATTCTCAAACATTCCCTAATTATATTTCATGAGAACTAAAGACACATTTTATGGCTTGACCAAACAATCTTTATTGATATGATATTTAATTTAAACTGCCAATAACAATGATATTTTTAAACGAAAGGCAGGTTTTACGTTATTAGTTGAGGCCATGGTATCGTATCATTAATAAAATGTTTATTAAACAAAATTATGATCTACAAGAAGCCGAAGATTTTGTGGTTGGACATTGTATATTTCAAGTTACTTACAGAAATAATTATACCATATGATCAACATAATAAAACCAAGTTTTAACAAGAATAGTTTGAATAATTATTACTGATGAGTCTATATAGCAGTTTATTGCTTGCAGAGTTAATCTTTGTAGAAAGTAATAACAAAATGATTGAAAAATATTTTCAAGTTGTATTGGTGCTTACCATTCTAGCTTATCAGTTCACACTAATCATGTTTGAAAGCTCAAACGAGTGTGTGTACTTTGTTTTAGTACATAGCCACACCATGCACTGTCTGTTTTTTTATCGGTAGTTACACATGATTCCTTCATGATATTTCAAACTCCTATAGTGTCCGAGAAGAAAAATTTCCAACATTAAATATACAGAAATCTGACAATATGTATCACGAAACTAAGCCTTTTTTTTTTTAGAAAGTGAGCTGTGGTGTTTCGTATATAGGGGCCTGAGTAGTAAGTTATTAGCCCTCTATTGCACATTGTAACGTACAGGTAACAAATCCGTCTTTGTTGTTTAATACACAAACAAATGCTTCAGTTCTGTAGTTGAATGCTCTTATTTCCAGGTAAATGTCTAAATAAACCATGAAATTATTTTTGTTGGCTTCTCAATTGAACAATGTTGCCTCTAGATAATGTACCCATTTACATATAACTTACCAAAATATTTGCCACAAAAATATTTTTTGTGCAATTTAGACCTGTTTAAGTAAGAAATTCAAAGAAATCATTTTTCCACCGTATTTTCATAATGTATACAATAGAGAGTTAAAAAAGACATACAATAAGTTCCTTTCTCACAGTGAAACCAGCTTATTTGCATCATGACCATACCTAACATATATTGGAATATTCCTCCACATAATGCGGCTAGCATCTTTTCGTTCTTCAGTTTCACTCTTTTTTTGTATAGTGGATCAGTTTCTGCTGTTGAATGTATATTACTGCATGCACATTGTCAGAATTTAAGATACATAATTCTTCTTTTTGCCAATTGTTAAAATAAAAATTATTTTGGTTATATTTCTTAATAATATAAATATATACTATGTTGTTGTTGGACTTCGGATTCTTCTACAATATGTGTCTGTGATTTGTTAGCAAAAAATTCAACGATAAATAAACAGCACGCACTTCACTTGTCTTTAAAATAA